TATCAAGACCTGGACATATTCCATAGGTTATGCAAATAGATTTAGTAGGTACTTCGGATTAAACAAAATTTTCTTTTAAATTTGTTAATAAATCTTGTTGTATATGTTTGTTTTGTGATTGATATATTGGTGGCAAAACTGAGACCTTCAAAGAAAGAGTTGAGTTTGATGATGCAACTAAAACTGTGACTCTGATTGGGTTGGAAGGGGATGTCCTCAAGGAATTCAAACACTAGAAAATCATATGTCAGCCAATGCCAAGTACTAAAGACATTGCAACTCGTCTTCTCAAGGCATGAAATTAAGATATAGGTTATCTTAAAAAGGAAAATTAAAGAAGGGACATGCCTTTCTTAGTTACCATATGGAATAATAAATGCCTACTACTACTTCAATGTTATGTCTCATTTGAGCATGCATCTACCTATATATGTATAAATGCCAACTAGCTACTTTTATGCACTCCGTCTGTCCTTATTTAGTTTTCATATTAGAATGCTATAATTACAATATTATATATGATTATAAGTTAAAAATTATGATGTGATATTAAATGAGTAATCAACTTTAACATTTTCTTTTTGGACATGGGTTTGAATACCCTTGTACTCGTATTAATAACATTGTTGGTAAAAAAAAAAAAATTATGATGTGATATTAAATAAATATGATATATTTTTAAATGAATAAATACAATTAATGTTACAAGTGGATTTCTAAATAAAAATAATCAATTTTATAATAACATATTATTTTATCAATTTACGATATAACGTGATATCATAACTATAACATTTTTTTTACTTTTATTATGCTTACTACAAAAAAAGAAAGCTCATTTTTGGTTTTTCTAGTTAAAAAATAAAAAAGTCTATTTTTAGTTTTTTTACTTTGAAATTTTTATTATTTAATGTATTAGGTATTCAAAAAGATAATGAAAGGACTAAAAAGATGTCAAATAATAAATTTTATGATTTAAAAGGGGTTTTTTTTAAATAAATGAACTAAAAAGAAATATTTTATTAAAATAAAGACACTAAAATAAGGTTTTAACATTTTTTCTTTTTTTTTTTTAAAGATCAAAAAACTATTTTTTAAGAAAATATAAACGATAGTCTAACCCAAATATAACAGATAAACAATGGTTTTTAAGTTGCCATTATTTTGGCCTGCTAAAAGCAAGAGGAACTTTACATGACTTGCAAACCAGTTTTTAAACTAGAAATAGGTTCTTGTGGTCAACAAGATAAGCAGAAATCACAACCATCGAGCCTTCCTTTAATCCAGTAGAAAGAGCTAGCGAGTCAGGATGAGGTTAATTAAATAGCTTTTCCACATCAACTTCTTAAGCCTTTTAATCCACATATTACGATCAAAAACAATAATACGTCCAATCCATTCATTGCCCTTCTTATCTTGAAGAACCCTTGATGTTAAACGAAAGTTAGCTGAGCATGATTCTGCAATGGCGCCAACTAGACCCCACTGTCTTTAACATGTCGATAGAATTCTAGCCACTGAACAGCGGGGGAAAAGATGATTCAATACAAGTCCCACAAATTAAGTTCACACACAGCCAAGCTAGCGAGGATGATCTAATATCCCTTTCTTCCATAAATTGTATTTAGAGGAATTCTGTCATAAAGCACTTGCCATGTGAAGGCATGGCAGAGATAGCTGGGATACGCATGGTCATATAGCTCTATCAAGACCTCGACATATATACCATAAGGTTTAGATGGTTAGGATTTAAATTTTTAGGGTAAATGGTTAGGGTTTAAAACTTTTAGGGTTTAACTTATAAAAAAAATTAGGGTTTAATTATATTAGGGGTATGCTAGGGTTTAGATTTTTTAAAGTTCAATGATTTCAAGTATAGTATTTATGATTTTAGGATGAGGTCGTTGGATCTCAATCACAGATGTGAGAGAATTAATTGGAGCTGGTAAGAGGGTATTCACATTTTTTAATTGGAGCTGGTAAGAGGGTATTCACATTTTTCACTTTGTAGGGTCTACTCTGATTTTGTGGTTTAAAACGCATTATATTTTGTGGTTTAAAACGCATTATATTTTGTTTATTAGTATTGTGTTGTATTGTATTATGCTGTAGTTATGGAGTTTCTTTTTTTATTATCTCAAAAATATAAAAAATATAAAATTAAATTATTAAAAAATTTAAAATATTAATTAAAATTAATTAAAAATAATAAATTAACAATTTTAGATAATATATATTTTATGAAAAAGGTTTTGTACCAAGCATATTAAATTGAAGTCTTGATCTTCTATTAAAAATATCTTATTTTATTTTATATATTTAAAGGAAAATAAAAAACTTTCTATATATTTCCACACCATATATAATGGGAGACATCATGCTTTACGAAGTCACACACACATCTTGTTATCTGTGAAATAATACATTTGTGGTAGCAGAAAAATGTCTGTGCATTACAAGCTAGAGGCTTATGTGCCAATCAACGCCCCTGCCGACAAATACTACAACGTCTGCAAAAACCGGCCACACCACCTTCCCAACATATCGACGGAACGGCTTCAGAATTGCCAATTGCATGGGGGAGGTAGTTGGGATACTCATGGCCATGGTTCTATTAAGACCTGGACCTATACCATAGGTAATTAATACAAAAAACATTTAAATTATTATTCTAGAAATATATATTGTATATTTTTGTGATTGATATATGTATATTATATAGGTGGCAAAGCGAATCAGAGCTTCAAAGAAAGAGTTGAGTTCGATGATGCAACTAAAACTATCACTCTGATTGGGCTGGAAGGGGATGTCTTCAAGGAATTCAAACTCTACAATGTCATCTTTCAGCCAATTCCAAAGGATAGCAGCAGCTGTGTGGTGAAAAATGTTATTGAATATGAGAAACTGAGAGATGATGGTCCAGATGCACATAGATATCTGGATTTCATCGTTGGTATTACTAAAGATGTTGAAGCTCATCTTGTGAAGGCATGAAATTAAGAAAAAGTAATAGGTAATTTCTATCTGAAAAATAAATAAATGCCTATTACCTTAATGTGTGTGTAAGGTGTGCTTATGTGCTTTGGTTATGTATTATTGTGAGCCTGCATGTGTGAGAGAGCTTGTAATAACGGGCAAGGCCCCGTAATTAATGAATAAGCCATTTCATATTTTTATTTTGTATTCCTTCCGTCTCCCGACTCCAAAAAATAAAAAATTATCTCAAATGTAAAAAATCTGAAGAGTAATCATATGTTAAAAAGAAGAATCTTTCCATCCAAGAAAGAAAGTACAGGATTGCACTAAGACATGGAGACAAGCTGGAATTTATTGCTCTCTGCGTCTTGAAATAATTATTATTATTTGATTTTGAATTTATTTTAAATTAATTATCATTTTTTTAGTTTTAATTTAAAGAAAAAAAAATCAAAATGCAGCATTAATTTTTTTTTTTTTTAACAAGTGGGAATTTTGGGAAAAGGTAAAATGCAACACTAATTTATATATTTTTAGATAGAAGGAATACAAAAATTAATATTAAGTGACATTACATTAAATATTAACTTTATGCAAATACAAGTTGTTCTGATAATAGCATCTCACAGACGCTTACTCATCACTCAGAGAGACACACACAGTATTGCATATTTATTACATAACCAAAGGTCCAAAGCAAATTAAAGTAGACAGTAGCTTAATTGAAACTTGCATGCATCCCAAGTCTTATTGCAGAATCAACGAAATGATTGAGGTGGTGGAGCCGTGGAGGAATAGGTCCTTCTTTCATGCCTGGACAAGATGTGCTTCAATGTCTTTGATCAAGCCGACAACAAAATCAAGATTTTTAATTCCATCCGGGCCATCCTCCTTCAGTTTCTCATACTCAATAACACCTTTCACCACACTGATGCAGTCATCCTTTGGAATTGCCTGAAAAACAGTTATGTAGTTTTTGAAATCCTCAAACACATCTCCTTCCAACCCAACCAGAGTCACGGTTTTACTTTCATCATCAAACTCAACTCTCTCTTTGTAGGTCAGAACTTTCTTGCCATCTATATGATTCACCAAAAAAGAAGAAAAAAAAAGGGTAGATAAATTTAGAATATAAAAAATGAGTGTTTTATTTTTAATGAATTTTTTTTTTTCAAGTTAATTCATTAATGATATTTCAATAATTTTAGTAAGAAAAATGATTGGTATAATCTCTAATTCAAAATATCTTTAACCATAAGCTATTAAAATATAAAAACAATCAAATTTTATCCGTTCTTGTATACTGTATGCACATCACCATATATTTAATTTTTTTATATTTAATTTTAGATTAAAAAATAATAATTTTATAATAAATATATTTTAAAATATATTAAATCAGAAAATATATTAATAAGTGTTCTTTTACCAAAAGTGCAGTCTCGACTAACAAACTGGATTCTGTTAGTGTATAGATATATAGCTTTAATAAAACGCACTAAATTAAAAAAAATGAAAAGTTGTTATGTCACTGAAGACTTTAGGTGGGTTTGTAAACTTGTAATAAACTGAACATAAGATATATTATGTGAGTATACATTACCTAGGGAGTATTTCCAGACTTTGACAGAGCCATGAGTCTGCCAGTCACCTTGATGCACATCTACACTAGGAATCCGAGAAGGAGAGATGTTGGGAACGTGGTGAGGTCGGCTTCTAAAGACTTCGTAGAACTTGTGAGCTGAGGCCTTAATTTCGACATAAGCTTCCAACCTGTAACGCACAGTCATGTTTCTGATTTCACAAACTCACCAGTATCTAGCAGAAGAGAAGATGTGTGTGCTTAGCAAAGCAAGGCGTAGCTAATATTTATAAAGTAAAATATTTTATAAACATTGTTATTTTACGTGGCTAGGCAATGACACAAGTACCGCAGAGTTAGATATATCAGGTCATGAACCTATAATATATATTATTTAATTATATAAACACAAATTACTTAAAGCACCCCACCGATCAATAACAGGGTCCAGAAAGCAAAGGAAATAAAACTCCCATTTTCTTTGGCGGCCCTCGACTCTTCCTTCTCCTTATTACCTTTCCCCTCAGGATTGAGAGAGTAACTGTAAACTAAAGCTAGCTACGTACTGTTGTAGTCTTGCTCACTTTATATTTGAGATATTATGAGAATTTAACCCGACTAATTAAATAATTTATAATTTTTATTTTTTTTACTCAACTAATTTCATATGTACATTAATTACTACACATTTTAATTTAATATGGTATATAACATATTTATTAAAAATTATTATTTTTTAATTTAA